ATGTTCTCTAGACGTTCATCTTAGTGTTTTAATACCACTATAAAACTTGACAGTTTCTTATGAGGTATTTGGAGGTTTGTTATAAAGAAAGATGAAAACACTTTTTTATGACATCTCATAAATTAATACAACTGAAAATGTGCAGGTTGTCTTATAAGGAGTTGAAAATACTTTTAAATAACACTCTGGCAATTAAATGTATGCTTTGCTGCTAACAAAACGTCTTTATGACGGATCGAAGGCGTGTTGAACGAGAATATAATTGTCATGCCATTGGCAAGAACATGATAGATACTTTTAATACGCCATTCATCAAGCGGAGCTGGTTTAGTTAGGAAGTAATGAGTCTACCACGCCAAGGACCAGTGTTCGAATCCCATGCTTAAATTTTTTTTATTGTTTTTTTTTGCCGCTGGTTTGTATGATGTTTCCAAAACATGTTATAATACCAGTATTTAGTTTTATAAGTTCCGCGTCTTGCGCTTTTTAGGTTGTATAGATGTATTAAATGATGTATATTAAAGTATTATTGATTCTTTACGTAAGTCATTAAAAAGTATTTTCAACTTCTTTATGATGGCGTTTGACCCGAAGTTAATCGATGCGGAAATCAAGAACCGCTACAAGGTAGCCCCAACTGCCGTCTATCGGATGACAAGGAGGGACGAGAACGTCAAAAAGTACCCGGATTACCTTTTCCAGTTGTATTTCCATAAGGGAACGGTAACGCTCAATGCGTTGAAGGCCATCCGCTCTATCAATTCCATCATTGTCAAATGGGAGCCATACCGTGGCGGCCGTCACGACGTCACCCAGTGTCAGCGATGCCTGAATTTCGGGCACAGCACCCAAAACTACTACATCAAGCCGCGATGTGGCAAATGCGCTCAAAACCATGTCTCCTCCGAGTGCGTTGTCGACGAGTCGGATACGTCCAAATGCGCCAACTGTGGTGACGCTCATCAAGGGTCCGACAAACAGTGTCCCAAACGCGAGGATTTCAATCGGATCCGAAAACGGAAGGACAAAACGCCGGCATTCAGAGTGGAGGACTTGCCGCCTCTTCGTGCTACGCAACAACAAATTTCTGGTGCTTCAGCTGGATAAAGCTCCCCATCCCCCTCTGGATACTGTAGACAACCACCAGCACAAAACGTCAATCCCGATCTCTTCTCTGCAGAAGAGCTCATGAAGATTTTCGTCGACATGACCAGCGTTCATCGTCAATGCCACAACAAGCCCGAACAGATCCAAGTGCTCGGTAAGTTTATTATTCAGTATGCTGTCTAAACTATCGTTTCTTCTTATTCTCCTTCCTCGCATTTCAAGCTTATTGCGTATGGCATATTAGCTTATTGCGTGCTCTCAACTTAGTGTTCTAGATGCACTTCCACAGTTATTAATTGAGAGCTTTCGATGCCTGTACCATTTTTGCATTAGTATAACTGTTTGGCAAGTACAATCATACTCTATTGCCCAGGGAAGTCGAGAAATTTTCCAACCCGAAACATTCCTAGACCGGACCGGGAATCGAACCCAGCCACCTCCAGCATGATCTTGCTTTGTAGCTGTGCCTTTACCGACTGAAATAATGGAGGTCCCGGAACGCTTGTTCTGTAAGAGCTAAACAGCTTGAGCTTGCTGACTTCCTCCGCAAGCACAGTATTGACGCGGGCCTTCTAACAGAGGCCCATCTCAAATCCGGTGATAACTTTTTGTTTCCTGATCATCACATTATCCGGCTTAATCGCACCAGCTCCAGGGGGGAGGGGGCGGGGCTGTTGCCTTCATCACCAAGAAAGGAATCAAGTTTTACACGCTGCCCAATAGGCCCTTAGTGTGGAGGTGGAATCCCCAACTGGAAACGTCCGGTTCATCACCGTATACTGCCCTCATCAGTATGCTGCCATTAATTTAAAAATCACCTGACCACCATCACTCGCCTCCCTTAGCTCAGTCGGTAAAGGCGCAGCTACATAGCAAGACCATGCTGGAGGTGGCTGGGTTCAATTCCCGGTCCGGTCTAATAATTTTTTCGGGTTGGAAAATTTCTCGACTTCCCTGAGCATAGAAGTATGATTGTACTTTGCCGCACAATTATACCAATGCAAAAATGGTACAGGCATCGAAAGCTCTCAATTAATAAATGTGGAAGTGCATCTAGAACACTAAGTTGAGAGCACGCAATAAGCTAATATGCGATAAAAAATAAACTTGAAATGCGAAGAAGAAGAAGAAGAAGAACCATCACTCGCACGAGCTCACGATTCGTCATTGGGGGCGATTTAAATGCCCGCCACGAAGCATGGCGGAGCTATCAGTGGAATCAGAACGGGCGTCTGCTCTTCGACCACTCGCAGCATGGGCTGTATACAGTGAAATTCCCGGATGAACCGGAGATGCTTGAATGGCAGGAACAGGAGTTTGATTGCTGTTGAATGATGAATGGCTCGACTGGGTCGAAGCGGTTGAGGGCTCCTTTGATGCCTTACAGTGTGCATCCTGGTGGTATGATCGTGATGGTATCCATTGGTGGATGAGAGTTGCAATTTAATTCAAGCGAGGTTTTTTTGAAAACCCTAGTCTGGATTTCCTGGCCTGCTAGTTGTGCGACTTCACTGATGTGTATTGCTTGAAGAGGCTTTATTGCTCGTTAGTAGGCTGTGGAATCCTCAAAACCTTAACGGTTTCAATCGGATTGAGGGAGTTCAACGGGATCGTTATTCGTCAGCATCAGTTTTCCAGATACAAAAATCGTTTGCAGTTCTTTGACATCGCCGTACTACACCTATGCATAGATCTATTGCGAGGCATGTTGATTTCTGACATCTTGATTGTAAAAGACTGACTGTCAGAAGCAATTCAGTCATATCATATCAACAGTCATAATCGTTCCCGAGCACTTCGCAACAGCGTCTTTCTTTAAATACCATTTTGACGAACGAACTAATAAGTCAACGGAGCTGTCGGAGCATCCGCATGTTTAGCTACATAGGCTTCTATACAGTAGAATTGGAACCACCCAAGTAACCATTGACAAGTTATTTCGTCTTTTTAGCTATCATAACTTACAAACTCTGGTATAGCCGATGTTCAGCTGTATATAGCCAAAAAGGTGACACAACGTGCCTATGGTTTCTTGGGTATCTTTTAAAATATGGTTAAATTCATTGTGAAACTATCATTAGAACCATAAACAGTAAGGATTTTGTTGATTATTGAATACTAGTTCTGCATTTGGTGTTGGAAAACCTTATGAAACCGCTCTGATTGAGTCCTCAAAGTATATGGCACTTGAGCTATTTGATTTCAAGGTAATCAACACAATGGATTTGACATTCGTACTATACACTATTGTAATAACTTTAAGGAGTACACTGTAATTACTGTGAGGATTCAGGAGCTATTGCAAAATTAAATAGAGATAATTTTCTAGATAACGTTAATTTAAAACACGATTCATGCAAAATGTGTTCATAACCATTATTTTTTTTTAAATAATCTTAGCGAAAATTATGCGGCACCGATGGTGTAGTGGTAAGTGTGATTACGTCTCACCTCAGAAGGCCTGGGTTCAATCCCAGCTGGTGCCTCCGGGATGTTCTGAGCATCTCTGATGACGCCTTCCTTAGAAAGGGAAGTAAAGCCGTTGATCCCCGGTTCATGAGATGTGATGGTTCAAAAGGTAGAGTCTAGGTGTGGGAGCTGCCTCCCTGGCGTCGGTAGCATTGGTGCTCAGCACGGAAAACAAGATGGACGGAAAACAAATCGAAAAAAAAAATACTAAAATTTGTAATGGGAGTTTAGTTGGTTGTCAGCATGCCACCATCTCTTTCATGCTACATAATTGGAGCCAATTAAAAATCAAATACAGCTTTCCCCCGAAGAACGCGTTACCTACTGAGTTGCACCCACCGCTAATTATGAAAATTTCTGACATCGCTGGATTTGCAGAGAAAATAGGATATCATTACAGGTGCACTAGAGTACTTTTATCTCCGCCTGGAACAGTCTATTTTATCGTTTTTCATTGACACGAACCTTCGAGTTAAACGGCGAGCGAGAGAAAAACAAATCTCTATCCAATTTCAAAGAAATCACATTCTCAAGTTCATCCACGAAAGTCCCACGCATGAGCGACAAATGAACCAAGTCACTTAATACCATCAGATTCGATGATAAAGGGTTTGAGTTCAAGGTAAAATAATGGATCTAGAAGGCTCTGAACCATATTCCTGGAACATGGCTTCTTGTCTCTATTTAAGATAAAAAAAAAATTGAGTCTCCCGTGGCCTATTCTTCAAGTAGAAGCAGCAACAGGGGGTGGTGGTTCAGCTTGCAGAGCATGTGGGCGAACTTGTAGAAAGTCTGAAAAACGTTAAAAGCCTGTCTAATTGAATTTTCCGTTATAATTTACCGTAAAATGATTCACTTTCACATCAGAGCGATGATGATTATAGTGTAGGAGAGCATGAAATTAAATCTTTCGTTGTTATCTCTTCTTATTTTATTTTTCATCACTTTTGTCCCTAGGGATGCCATCGGTTTTCCATTGAGTACTGCTAAGGGTGAACGAAAAAGGAAACACAATTAGAAAAGGACCATCGTTAAATTACGTAGTATATTTTTGACCAATTTTAGACGCACTCCCCCCCCCCCTCACCCCTCGTAGCGTATTTGGCTATATCTTACACATGGATAGTCATAATGTTTGAAAACCCCCCTCCTCCATAAAATGCTACGTCATTTATGGATGTTCCCAAAGTGGGTTTATATGCCCACTGTGTGGGGTAGATGGGGAAGCGAGAGTATTTCAAGAATAGAAAAGAACGTTGCAGAGTGCAGAATGGGTGAATTAACAATTGTAAAAAAAAACTCTCAGTCATGGAGTGAATATATCTGTTCTGCCTTCCATACCGGGCATTCGGTAGGAGATTTTTCCCACTTACTGAGAAATTAGCAATGATAGAGTGGTGCATACTTTGTCGGATGTCACTTACCTTAATTACGGGCTGGTGTCTGAAATTGACAAGCAGAAAAAAGTGTCTATTAAAATACTGTAAAGAAGGAAAGGTAGCGAGCGAACAGTTAAGAGTGGAGTGAATTTTACTGTTTGCACATCGAGTAACGTTTTCAGTGAACGATGGCGGAAATTGTGGCTTTGACGTGTTTCGAAAAGTGGAACGAATAGCGTTTGAAATATTAAAATAATGGAAACTGTTGAGGTCTTCCGTACGTTGACCAATGCAATCTGGTGCAATTGTGAAAACGAACTGTCGTGACCCGAGCTGCCTTCCATTATAATTATAATCCTTCAATCAGGAGTGTTTTCGGAATCAAAGAAAGAATGGTTTAAATTTGCTTTCGTATTCGATGAACTCTCTTACATGAGGTACATGTCTGATTTTATTGCTTATTAGCTGACTTCGATTTCTATTAATATGTTTTTGGATATCTATTAGACACTGTGGAACAAATTTTTGCTTTTAGGATTTCGAATGCAATGCAAAGTAAAACTCCGCTTGTCGACACTTGTTTGAGAGGCCTTTTAGAGCCAGACATTCACCAACAATTTTTTAAAGAATGTGATGTTTGCGAAAAGTTTGTTTCGAGATGATAAACTATATCATTTGTACGAACTTCTCGTGTATAGAACAAGACAAACTCAATAGTGGTGGGAGCGGCGCCGGTGGTGTAGTGGTAAGCGTGATTACTTCTCACCCCAGCAGGCCTGGGTTCAATCCCAGTCGGCGCCGCCGGGATGTTCTGAGGCATAACATCTCTGATCACGCCTTCCTTCGGAAGGGAAGTAAAGCCGTTGGTCCCCGGTTCATGAGTTGATGGGTCGATAGGTTGGGTCCAGGTGTGGGAGCTGCCTCTCTGGCACGGAAAACAAGATCGACGGAAAACAAATCAAGGAAAAAAAAAAAAATAGTGGTGGGATAATTTTACTTCAGAGCATGATCACGATTCTCTTTACATGTATTCCAGCAGACGTCATCTACTGTAATCGAAGCGTTTTCGAACTCGATCAAACTCCTCCACAGCAGTACCAGTTCGTGTGGGCAGCTTAACTTAAGCCATTAAGCTATTTTCAAAGCCCTTTGCTCGGTGGATGCATCGAAAGGCTCAGGTCCGGATCGTATTCCACCGTCTTTCATCAAGAATTGTGTAGCATCGTTGGCCACACCCGTTATGTCTATCTTCAATCGTTAACTCCTGGATGGCGTTTTTCCGGATTCCTGGAAGCTTGTCGAAATTACAACGATCTTCAAGCCAGGCACCATTCACAGCGTGGAAAACTACCGACCTATCTCGGTTCTTAATTGTTTGACCAAAGTTCTCGAAAGTCTTCTGCATGACAAGTGGTATCCAGTTGTGCAATCTATAATCTCGGAGTTTCAGCACAGCATGAAACATGGAGTCTTAAAAAAAAATTGGATCCGAAGAATCGTGAAATACATTCGAAAAGGGCCAAATATTACCAACACTTTCCAGCCATTATCTACAACATTGCTCAAGACACCAATCCGATTCGACTAACCATTTTTGAATAACACTTTTTCGAAGATAAGCTTAATGTTTTCTATATGCCTTTTCAAAAATAAGCTTGCTTCAAAATTGATTGATGTTGGAAAATGGGATTTTTGGACAAAAGGAGCGTTTCTGCTAATTTTCATCCAAATCAAAAAGTACAAGAATGAATGGATTAGCGTTTTGGTATGGAAGTGGCAAATCTTTAAGTTTATGAACTTGCCCCATAATTGACTCACATTTAAAAAAAAATCGTTCCAGCTGGTAATGAACAATAAATTCATCAAGGCTCTGCCAGAGAAAGTTATAAACGTTGAATAAGAGATCCTGTGCGTGGAGTAAGTTTGATTCCAAACGCTTTGAATATTAAGATATTTCAACTTAGGTCGAACCTTTGCCAACTTTCTCTACATCTCTCTTTTAATCTAAAAACAAAAAACTCAAATATATATCGATAGTTTTAAGGTATGGTTGTTGTCCTTTATCTCATAGAAGCCAGAGGATCTAGCAAAGATTTCAAACTGTTTTAACATTTCTTGTTGGTAGTAGTAAAATACGTCTGCTCTTCCACTTCTAAGTTATCTGGATTTAACAAACGCTTTATAAAGTCTGGAACGCGCAATAATTGGTCAACTTCAAATTGGTGTATTTCTGTAAAAAATGCATAAAAAACCTGAAATGCTGCATTTGGAGGTTGAGTGTATAGGGTTAACTACCCCATTTATGGCTCATTAAGAACAACCCGCACATAGTCTTTCTTATTCTAGTGCAGCTTAGCAGCAAACGGAATGTTATTATTACTGTTGGCTTCCAAATTTATTTACCTTTCCGTATGTACCGTAAGATTTCATAAAGAGAAACAAATTGTTGAGATATTGTTAAAAGCCTGACACTGCTTCTTGACGCCAAACTCGGCCTACGGATTCTACACTCGGCCCAACGCATTGAAACGCCATTGAAACGCAAATGAATTCACTTCGGCCTATCGGATGATTTAGATAGTTTAGATTTTTTAGATATAAAGATTGATTCGGTCAGAGCGCTTCATTTGTACTTGAGAATATTAGGTGCAAACATTCATATCACTTGTTTTTATTGACTTCGTTCGGTAGCATTTGAACAAAAGTATCGTACCAAACGCATAATTTAGCTGTTAACGCCAAAATCATTGATTTATTTGATGTTTTCTGCTTGATAGGCCCAAGATGGGCGCCTAGGCATAAGTAGTTCTCTACCCTATACAATGATTGCTATGATGAGTTTTCACCGTTTGCTCTCCAGTTATCAAAATGACGTCCAAGCAAGAAGAGCAGCTTGTCAAAATTTTGCTCGCGCAGCAAGAGAATCCAACGTTCTCACACGCCAAGTTGACAAAATTGCTGGATGTGGCCAAATCGACCGTGACAACCGTTTTAAAAGTGATCAAGGAGTTACGATGAAGAAGGTGGCGGTGAAATATAAGCAGAATCCTCAGTGTTCACTCGGCTGTCGACAGAAGCAGACCACTCTCAATGTGTGTCACGCGATCGTCTGTTTACTTGGCAGCAACCATTGTGTGGTCCTCCTCATTGTTCTTCATCAGCAGTTCTTTCGGTCGATGCGTCGTCGACTTTGCAATTAAACCGCTTCGTGTTGAATGCGTGAGTGCTGACCACGTTTTGCTACAATGGAAGCGCTATGACCCTCGTTGGCGAATCTACCATACAAGTAAACCACTGGAAACGGCTCCCGTTTTGGTAGAGGAGGCTTATTGGATAGCGGAAGATAAAATGTTTATTGTGTTGTACCTTTTGACTATAGTTTTAAGATGTATTGTATAGGAAACAAGAATCCTCGGCTCTGTAAAGTTAATTCGGTTGAGCCTTATCAAATAAATTAATGAACAAAAAAAAAAGCAGAATCCTAACCTCTCCATCCGGGACGTCGCTGGCAAGCTCAATGCTCAATCCCATACTACTGTGCAGCGAGCCAAGAAACGAGCCGGGTTGTCGACGTTTAAGAAGGTGAAGGTGGCGAACCGAGATTACAAACAAAACACGTCGGCCAAGCAGTGGTCCCGAAAGCTGTATACGAATCTGCTCACAAAGTTCGACTGTGTCGTCATGGACGACGAAACTTATGTGAAGGCGGATTTCAAGCAGCTGCTGGGACAGGAGTTTTATACCGCATCAGGAAAAGGGAAGGGAAATTTTCAAAACCATAAAACTATCGAAGTTCCCGAAACAAATATCTCGACTGGCAGGCCATATGCACGTGTGGTCTTAAAAGCGACATTTTCATTACTACGGGAACCATCAATCAAGAGATCTACGTCCAGGAGTGCCTGGAAAAGCGGCTACTACCATTCCTAAAGCAACATAATAGACCTGTTCTGTTCTGGCCGGACTTGGCGAGCTACCACTATGGGAAAAAGGCAATCGAGTGGTATGATGCGAACAACGAGGTTGTGGTACCCAAATACCACAACCCTCCAAACAGCCCAGAACTCCCTATCGAACGGTATTGGGCCTTGGTCAAACGGAAATTTAAAAAAAAAAAACTAATAAATCCATGGAAAACGAGCAGCAGATTAAATCTATCTGACTTTCGGCGGCGAATAAGGTCGATGAGACCACTGTGCAAAATTTAAATGGAAGGGGTTAAGAGGTAGACACGGCAGTTCAGATTTGGCAAACCAAAAGAATAAACGAACATTTTTTTCCTTTAAATATATGAATAGAACCATCAAAAGAAAAATAAAAAGATTTTTGTGATATGAATTTTGACTGAAAGAAACGATTTCTTCTCGACCAATTTTTGCGCGTTTCAGTCTTTAGTTTTTGGTAATACAACTGCGTTTTTTCTTCTTCTTTGTCTATTCTTCTTCTTCGCATTTCAAGCTTATTGCATATCGCATATAAGCTTATTGCGTGCTCTCAACTTAGTGTTCTAGATGCACTTCCACAGTTATTAATTGAGAGCTCTCGATGCCTGTACCATTTTTGCATTAGTATAACTGTTTGGCAAGTACAATCATACTCTATTGCTCAGGGAAGTCGAGAAATTTTCCAACCCAAAACATTCCTAGACCGGACCGGGAATCGAACCCAGCCACCTCCAGCATGATCTTGCTTTGTAGCTGTGCCTTTACCGACTGAGCTAAGGGAGGCCCCTGATAAATTATCTGATAGCTCTAAATCAATATATTCCGTAAACAAAAATTAACAAATGCAGGCCGCCGTCATGCGCAATGTTTGTTTTATGTTGTTTATTTTGACGCTTCACTTGTTATCGAGCTATAATGTGTTTTACAACACAAACTATACTGTAGCAAAGAACTATGCATCGTTAATATTTTTCCAAGGGTTGATTGTTTCAATAATCTAAAGGATGGCCTTCTTACCTCTGTTGAACGTCTTACCCCGTCATCCCCTACAAGAGAGGAGCGGATTCAAAATAAACTGCCTTGGCAACATATGCCTACACGCTATTTTGAGGCTACTCAG